TGAGTATGCCAAGGACCCTGAGAGCTATACCAGCAGTAGCATAGCTACTGGCAGGGCCTCCCTTGCTGGACAGGTCAAAGGGTAGGCATCAGACGAAGAGAGACATGAAAAACCAAAAACTGATGCCGGAAGCAGCGACTTGAAGCACAGAGCAAATGATGCTTGAGATGGTTCAAGTTCGTATAGCAACAGGCGTGACCAGAGTGGTTTGAATGGCTGTTGTACTGCGATGTGGAAAGCAAATGGAAAAACTACCACATCACTTTTCCTGGATCGTCTCTTTCCAAAAATAGAGATACCATGTATGCAAGATGTTTTCTCTGGAGACAAAACAAACCGGAGGGGTGGATAGAAGTGACCAGAAGATGCTGGATGACTTTGGGGATGGAAGAGGATATTTTTATTTGAAGGAGAAAGCTCGAAATCACATTAAGTGGAGGAACTGTTTTGGAAGAGACTGTGGACCTGTCATCTGACAGTTTACTGATGAATGAATGAATGACAGCTAGGAAGGACTTAATGTGTCTTTAGGGGAAAGTGACCCCAAAAGTACATTCTGACCTTTCGGGTTGGAGTTTCTGCAATGGGCAGCCAACCCACACAGGGCACAAGAAATACTTGAAGAGAAAGAAACTTTGGAGAAGTTACTGTTGTTTTAAATATTAAATTGCACGTAGTGTGAATTAGTTTTCTTACAGTTGTACAAAGATTTTGTCATTTGTGTAACGTTTCAGTGAATAAATTGTTCGAGAACAGAGAAGGGTGTGATATCACAGACAGTATTCCTTATGCATAATAAATTTACAGATCCAGATGTCCTGAAAGCCACTTTGGTTACAGATCCAATAGAGGAAACTATGTTCTATCCTTGTATACAGGCAAAAGAACTTAAAATTTGCTACTATCCATTTGTTGCAGGGGTTAATAGAAATTTTGGTTCCTTGTCCCTCTTCTTGGCTCATCTTTCCATAAGAAACCTTTTTGCTGCCCACAGTATGTGGAAGACTGAGCTGTTCATAAATCCTGAATGAAATACTGTACTTCAGCCAGTAGATAATATATTCTGGTGAGATACGTGTGGATATTTGAAAGGCCAAGCCTGTGGAAAACTGCCTTCTTTATTCGGTCTTTTCAAGTTGCTATATGAAATATGCTGCTGTATTATCTCATTTACACAACAAACAATTTACATCTTTAACTTGAACAGTGCCGTCTCTGTACTTGAGGGTGAAAATTAAATTTAAAAGAATTCTTGAGTTGTCACCCATTTTATACTGGGGATGAATTTTATGTACCTGTATATACTAGTCTGTAAGATTAATTGTATTCTGATTCTGTTCTTATGTCTTGACTTAGTTCTTTATACTACTTATTTATCTAATATGACTTTTCCACATCCTAAAGTATTGGATTTTATGGAAATAATAGATGAGTAATGAAAATGAAAAAAGAGCTTGGACTGACGCCTGAAACCTTGAGAGTTCTATAATAAGATGTCTTGGTTCTGTGTTGTTTTTGTAAACTGGGGGAGTTTTGTTGTATATATGGTCTATATGTTCTTTTTTATTTGTTTTATATTATGAATGCCTTGACTTGTTCCTGTGGGAATGGAATGTTTATATTTTGATCTGTGACTCATTCTATATCCAATGGTTGTTTCCCAGCCTGTATCTGGATATATTTTTGAATCTAAAATAAATTGAATTGAAGCTTCCATTTTGGTGATACTGAAGACAGTGGTTCTGAAGTTCATCGTTTGTGGTGTACATGCAAGGATGTGTCATGAGTATGTATTTTAGGTGATGTAATGATCAGCACCAAATATTTTTTATATATTCAATATTATATACAGCTGCCAGTTGTGGATAATGTTGCTGTCAGGCTTTTCTGGCAGCTTCTTTGGCTGATTCTCTGCAGCAACACTGCAGCTGATGTCATTACTTGGAAGATGTTTCCAGGGCATCTTCAGCTATCAAGGCAGGGCTTTAAAGTACTATCATCCTCAGTCTGTCATTTCCTTGGGTATAAGGAGTAGCATAATGATTGAGAGCCTTCCAAACATAGGTACCCCCAGGGGTTTTTTTTTTCTTTTTATTTTATTTNTTTGTGGGGGGGGGGGCAGAAAATCTGGTTGCAAACTTATGTTTAAGCCATTTAAGATTATTTTTACTGATCACTCTGATGTACAAAAATAATGCAGTCAGTTGTGTAATTTGTTTTACCTGATGAATCATATCATCTTTAAAGAAATGCAAATGTAGACAGTTAATCTGAATATTGTGCAGAAAGTAGGTAGAGATTTTAGTAAGTTTAATGAACAGTGTTTGTATTGTAAGATTTGAGGTTTTCATAGGGGTGACTATGAAGAAAGCCATCTTCTGCGATGTGGAGCCGTGTAGAAATTGTGTTAACCAGTGTTTCGGAGGAACGTATCGCCTCCATCTGCAGGGTAGAAGATAAGAAAAAATCCCTAAGTGAACCAGCAGAGCAGGTGCCACAGACTGAGTCCAATCAAGTGAACACAGCTATATTAGAGAAGGAGAGCAGGAGTGTGGCTACATAGGGAAATAGTAGAGAGAGGAAGGGGAAGGGTCTGGTGGAATAGCCAGCAGGTAGTGGGCCGGAGCTGGTATAGAGTATGTGTTAGGGGGAGAGAAGGGAAGGTTAAATGGAGGGCATTAATCCTGTAGCTCAGAGGCTGCAATGAACCTGAGTGGCCAAGCCAATAGTTCTGACAGTGAGCCTTAATGGAATATCAGGCTTGTGGATCTTCTACAACCTGTAGAGTCTAGATGAACTGGAACCTTGAGGTCATAGCCATTGGCAGACCTCGGCAATCTGGGACTTTTTCAGGAGAAGGACAGTCTTGTGCTCTATGGAATCAGTAGGATCCTTCAACTTCTTGTAGACCTTGTCCTCCAAGAGAGCGGCGATCTTCTGGTTGTAGTCCAACGTATCCAGTACCATGGTCGCATTACCCTTCACCTCATTGGCTTTTGAGGACCCTGACTGTCTTCTGTCGGATCTCCTCTGCAGTCTCTTCAGGCAGGGCCACTATTGCCTTCTCGGGGACAGACACCAGAGCCACGGCAAAGTTGAGGCCCTTGCTTAGGGCCAAGCAGGCTGCTTCTTCCAATGGCACTTCACTCAGATTGACCAACGTCTTCTTGCTGTCAGGGGGGTCGGGTGGGTCTGCCTCCAAAGAAATTATCTAGTTTCCTTCGGCCAGTCAAAGATAGCCTGGGACTAAGGACACCGGATGTATACAGTATCCCATGCGAGTGAAATAAGGTCTATATTGGGCAGACAGGCCATTCTGTGGACACGAAGTTGAAGGAGCATCAGCGGCACATCCATCTCGAACATCCAGACAAGTCAGCTGTGGCTGAACACAGCATTGATTTGGGACACCACATTCAGCTTCAGAATACCTCCATCCTCGCTACCAAGACCCATTATATGGATCACATCATTAGGGAGGCCATTGAGATTGAACTCCATCCCAACAATATGAACAGAGAGGTGGGGTCTTGTCTCAGCAAGTCACAGAAGCCTCTCATCTGTTCCCTCAAGTAACCTCTGAAATACGGCATCCCTATAGGCCACTCAGGTCCATTGCAGCCTCCGAGCTACAGGGTTACTGCCCACCATTTAACCTTCCCTTCTCTCCCCCTAACACATACTCTATACCAACTCTGGCCATTCCACCAGACCCTTCCCCTCCCCCTCACTGCTATTTCCCTATGTACCCACACTCCTCTCCTTCTCTTATACAGCTGTGTTTACTCGACTGGTCTCAGTCTGTTACACCTGCTCTTCTGGTTCACTCGCGGATTTCTTGTCTTCTACCCTGAAGACAGAGGCGATACGTTCCTCTGAAACGTCAGTTAACACAATTTATACACAGCACCACATCCCAGAAGATGGCTTTCTTCAGTGTTTTTATTGTTGTGACAGCAATTAAATGTTCACACAGGCAGCTAATATGACACTGAGACATGGTCAAGCTTGCCTGCTGTGATACCAAAAAAAGGCTTTTGTGATCACACTTATGAAGTATGGCATAATTTTGCAGCTTTCATAAATATGACTGGAAAACATTTATTTTTCTTCATATTAGGATGATGATAATGTCTGAAAGAGTAATCCATCAACCCAGTATTTGCTTCTGTTTACTCACAGTTTCAATCATCAGAAAATGTTAACAGAATTCTGTACTGTATATAGGCTGTACTCTCCACATGCTTTCCCCTTTGTTGCTATGTACCAAGTTATGTGTTTACTGACTGAATCAGCATGCTTTGAAAAAATTTAAGTTCAGCATTGAACATTTGACAAAAATGTTTTCTGTGTGTCCATGATGATTGTCAAAACTGTGCAAAATTTTTGTTTCATTTTTTGACATGTTAATATTTGAGAGCTTAACCACATTGTTCAATGTATCCATTAGATTTAATACAGATACATATAGATTTAATCCACTCTCAAGAATTCCACCCAGACCACAAAAACAGAAACACTGCACGAGATATATCATGAGAAGCAACTAAACTGCTCACTATAGTTCCTGTACGATCAGTGTTCAGCACTCTCTGCCTTGAAACTGCATTGGCTGACAGTCACATGTTTACCAATTGTGTTCCTAAACTCTGCTTTTCAAGTGAATCAGCCAATATTTCTTTCTGCCACTATACATTCTTGTCTGTATTCAGTGCTTGGAGTTAAAATGTGACAGCAGCACATGCAGGGCAGGGTCAGGGACCCTAAAATTGCAGTGTGACTATAGGTACAGATCTTTGACTTATTTAAAATAGTTGTCCTACCAGTGAAAGTACCTAATTATAATAACAAATTGAATAATGTTGTATTCAAGGGCGTAATTCTGTTTTCTTGCAAAGTTGGTGGTAGGGACTTGCATGAGTTGGTTCTTAAATATACAGCTACTCTCCATAACATAGGTGTTCAACGTCTATTAGTGCAGAAGTCTCAGCAGTCTTGGATATGTTTATATGGCTTTATTCTGGTATAATTTTGAGCATTATCCATTGCCTGATGTATATTTTAAATGCACGAATTTTCAGAAATTTTCTGTACTCACACCTTCAAGTGGCTGATTGTGTTTTATACTAACATCTTTTATTGTTTTTATTCACACTTGGGAGTTAACCTGGGAACTTTTGAATCCTAGACAAATGCATTTACCACTGGTCAGTAATCTAATATTTTAAGGGTCCTGGATTCAATAATAGCCACTGCCATTAACCCTTAAATAAATCTTTTCGTCTAAAGATCACTGGCAATAGTTGGGAGTGAACTTGGAACCTTATGAGTACTAGATCATCATCCTAGTACCACAGAGGTGCTAAGTTTCATTGAAACCACCTTTATTTTTGCAGAGATTTAAATCTCTCCTTACTGTGGCACTGGTTGCTGGAATTTAATTAGCCATATTGGATTATGAACATCGTGATGCTTGACTTCCTAGGGCCAACTGGGCCTGCACAGGCGATGAAGGTTACACAAGAAATCTGTTGGTGTAACAATAGCCTCTCATCTGAAAATGTGAGCATCAAATATACCACATAAAGTGGAGAATATGTAACATAATGTTGGTATAATATAGTAATCATTGTCTCAAAGCTTTAGGGAATCATTTATAATGCCATTGCTGCACTACACCACACATTCAGTACCATATGGCCTGTTTCAAGTCTGGTGTGGATCACTGCCGATAGTATGGGGCTCTGCTGGACATCGTGTATGTGCTCATTGGGATAGCTGCCTGCTGGCTCTTTGAGAAACCACTGTATGCATCTTGCTCACAGTCTACATCATAATAAATTCCACTCTGATTCTGTAAAAAAGTAAACAACTCAGTTTCACTTGTTAATTTAAAATACTGTATGATTATGACTTTGATGCTGTTAAAGCAGTTCATCAAGTATTTGTGCTAATCACTATGTTGAGTTTAATGAAAACAATATGGGTAGTTGTATGGACAGCTATGGCAGTCTTACATAGAGTAGACAAAGATGAGCAAATGTACGTGAAGGTTGTGACAGAACTGAAGAGACAATCGCAGGCTAAGTGGCAGTGATGTGTGATTAATTTTTGTTTTGAGAATATGAGAAATTGTTAAGTTCACATAATTTCAGAATTTTTCACTGAACTAAAGGTGTTTCATACAGAATAAACTAATTTAAATTTAATGCTTAAATATGTCACATATTTTAAATTTTCAATAACTACTTATTTTAATTGAAGAAATTATTGAAGAATTTTCAACAATTTTGAGAATTTGAAAACTTAAAAAAAATGACGTTTCTGAAAACAACCCCAAGTTTGAAATCTGGGCAAAAACAGAAATTTATGGAATTTAAAGAGTCATAATTTTTTGAAAGTGCAAAATTGTTGAGGTCAAGAAAATGTGGACCAGCACATCCACTTCCCTATATGCCTTCATGGCATAGTGCTTAATTAGTTAAGAACAGGTCCAACTTTACCTTTACTTGTGTTTCAATTTGTGTGTTACTTGACTGCTTTGCTGTGAGGCTTACACCAAATGGTGATCACAAGAGGAAACATCATGTAAGACATCCATACCAGGAATGAATTTGGTAACTCAGCCTGTTTATGCTCATGTGTTTGGAATTTTCACTGACTATTTTACTCTTATTAATGTTTCCACTTACTGCAACAGAAGATCTGCTTTTTGGTCGTGGTACATGGAAGTTCCTACCCAGCAGATCTGCCCTGTCCTCTTCCTCACTACTTGTGGACTCCACAGTTCGATCTGGGGTTCTCATTCCATGTGAACTCAGGGCCCCAAGTGTGCTGAATGCTGTTCCTCCATGGACGCTCATGGCTCCAGTGTGGCTCATGTTTGTAAGTCCCAGGCGAGGAAGTGGCACTGGTGGTGCCCCATGGGGTAGAGTTCCACTCATTGTAAGGCTTGGATAGCCAAACATAGCCGATGAGGGTCTCGTCGGCCCTGGTACAGGCTCAGGCTGCTGACGAAATAGATGAAAAGCAATTTAGTTTGAAAGCCAGGGACTGCTATGTCAACTATGAATTGATAAGCCACATATCCTTAACCCTCATTTTCCAAGAACGGGATTTTATATCCCCACTGTGAAGGGAATGGCAGCTGGCTTTTAACTTGCAGGTGACAGTACCGATGTAGAGAAAATGCAATGCTCAACCAGTTGGACCACATGCATGTGCCATTAACGTTATGCAAAGAAATACTGTATAGGCTTATGGTATTTCATCTTTAAGGATGTTTGTGTGTGTGTCCTCCTTTCCTAATAATGTTTGAGTGAACTGATCGACTGAAGTGGTATGAAATCATGCCATTAGACACAATCCCACCTTCATACTTTGAACTGTCTCCCACTAATAACAACAGTGTGGTGACCATGCAAATTTTAGAAATGGTAGCATTGTATCACTGTTGATGTTTTATGTAGGTTCCTGAAATTTAATGGGATGAGAGATAATGAGATAATATATTAACTTGGTGGATGTCAGTTCCACTACTCAAGACTCTTCTGTTATGATAGAAATAACTGCTGGAAAGTGAAGGTAGCATGTAGTGTTTTGAATTACCATTAATGTTAACAGTAGGGCCACAACATAGCTCAAGCGGTTAGTTGCTGGCTTCCCACCGTGGCGGCCCGGGTTCGATCCCGGGTCTGGTCAAGTGGGATTTGTGGTGGACAAAGTGGCACTGGGGCAGGTTTTCTCCGAGTACTTCGGTTTCCCCTGCCAATCTTCATTCCACCAATTGCTCCCCGATCACCCTCACCTATCATCTGGGGCTGGTACAATAGGCCGGAAGTGGCCGCAGTACAAGGGACTTAGTCCCACCCCCCTAGCAATAAAAAAAACCTTAACAGTACCTGCAAATGTGTTGAAAGTTATTAACATGGCATGAAAGCCCCCCCCTCCAATCTAACAACTTTCACATAATAAAAATTTTACTTTGGAATATTATTAGCAAAGATAAGTCACAAAGTCATACAACTGTTATTAACGTGTAACTTCTGATACCTGCTCTACACAGATCGTAAGTTATTTATGTAATGTTTTGTAATTTACTTAGTCATTTATGTAATGTTTTGTAATTTACTTAGTCATGTTTTTATTCTCATTTTCTTACACTGGTACCTTAGGATAATCTGAAGTATTTATATTCTCAATTATAAGACGTTATTTTCTCCTTGTTAACATTTATACTCAACAAACTCAGTTTCATTTAAGAACTCTTATTCACCCACTTCTAAATGTTCTCATTTCAGCAATAATGATGAGTATGATTGGCAAAGAGCGTTTCTTTTGGCAGTCACATTAACAATTGAATATGTAACAATCTGTAATTCTGAAAGGAAGGAACTCCAGTATGAGAGTATAGTAACACATGGGTTCTGATTTGAAATATTTGTGTATTATATATTGTGACATGTTGGGCAATGGAGGACAACCCCTCCCTACCCAGCAGTGATGTGGCAACTCTGGCCACAGTGAGGTGGCGGATGAGTCAGCGCTCCATCCCCGCCACTCTCCCCACGGTGACGTAACACACAATGCGCGGTGACGTAACATGGTGCGAGTAAACAGCGTTGCTAGGCTATACGCAAACACGGCGATGTGACACCGGTTCCTACTGTGACAAGGCACTCACTACGTAACAGGCAAGCACTGCGGCTATACAAGGGAACTGCACAGTCCCCGGAGTGAAGTTAACTTGTAGCCGTCCCCGAAGAGAGTTAAAGTGTATCAGCACCGAAGACAGTTCTCCAGTCAGCAGCCTACAGTTGGAGTATAGCAGCGTTTGCAGAAAGAAGAACCGAACGTGTGTGTAGTTGTGTAATTGGGAGTGTGTGATACAGGGACACTTACATAGCTCCTGTGCTGAATACGTGTAGACTACTGAAGACAAAGTGAATTGATTTGCGAATAGGGTTATAAATTGTGAAACCCCGCAACTGTGTTATAATTAATTGTAGCCGAGACTTGTAGGTTGTTGAATAAACCAATTAACAATCTCTACGTCGTCTTCAGAGCAGAAACACGTTACAATATTTAGTGTCATTCTGTACAATAATACTCAGAGGTAAATACCAGTATTTGGTTCCTTTTGGTTCACATATTAATCAAATGACTAATGTCATTGCAACAAAATTTCAGGGCATTATAAGAAATGCATTTTAATATGGGTTTTATTATTACAGTGTAAAGTATAGATGATGCACATTAGGGCCACTGCTAAGAACTCGTAAGTTTATTATTCTGCTACAGAACTGAGGTATTAAGGCCATGTGGAACAGTGCAGTTTTGGACAAAATGTTTTGGAATACTATTTGAAGATGATTTAAGTGCTTATACTTTCTTATTGTATCCTTCATTGTATGCTTTTGCCTCTTTTCTCTGTAGACTCTAATTCATGGAGTATATCCTGAACATGGTTATACACATTCATGTGTCCACACATAAACTCTCTGATACTGAAACATGTTGATTCAGCACTGCAAATTCTAAAGCTTGGCATTGGTAATGATCCTAAGGCAGTCTGTTCCACCTCCAACCATCACAACTAATTTTCCTAAGATCGTTCATAAGAAATTACTCCATCAGAATCTGTATGCATTTCCTGTCTCCCATGCAAGCTATATGACCATCAGTACTTTGATCACACTCTCATTTCAAAAAGCATAAGAGAGACAATAATAATGGGGTAGATTTTTAAGAGTAGTTTAAGATAGTCCAGTAGGTGATTAAAACTTCCAAATACTTGAAGCAATCTGCACAACCTATGACAGGGCCACAGTGACAGATCATTTTTTCATAAAGCAACCATGGATAATGCATAGTCTACGTGTTACAGCAAAATGTAGTTATATCTTGAGGGACTGTCATGATAAAGTAAAAGTTGTGATATCCAGCACCACTGGTACCAGAGGGTTGCCAAATGTAATTTTCTGTATATTACAACTTTATACCTAATACACAGTGTACTTAGCAACCTCATAACCTCATGGATGGACCCAACCATTTAATTTGTCCCTCAACATTGTCCTGTTTTCCCTGCCACACTTTCTATCCTATTTCCATTACTACTTACATAACGTGGCATATACAAAATGTGTCCAGGTTATGTTAGGACTGTGTTCATTAAAAATACAAGACTGAATTATTTTCAAAATGTCACTCTTTTTATTCAAAATAGTCTCCTTCTGAATCAATACATAACTGGAATCAATCGCCAACTTAACTTTCGGGAACAACCAGAAATCTGCTGGAGCCAAATCTGGCAAATATGGAGGATGATCAAGGACTGTGATCCCTTTTCTGGCCAAAAAATCATGCACGATCTTCAATTTGTGGGGTGGGGGCATTGTTGTAGAGGAGCGACCAGGAACCTTGCTCTTGATATTAAGGTCAAATTCGAAGAATTCTCGCCCACAAACGATTGAGGACTCTGAGATAATAATCAGAATTCACTGTTTGACCTTCTGGCAGAAATTCCTTGTGAATGATTCCTTTGGAATCGAAGAAAACGGTTAGCAGTGTCTTTACTCAACTCTTTTGCATGTGCACTTTCTTCAGTTTCGGCTTCTTTGGGCTCAACCATGCTGCACTCTGCCGCTTTGTGAGAGGCTCATATTGAAAACACCATGTCTCGTCACCAGTAACAATCGATTTTGTAAATTTTGTAGCAATTTTGGCCAACCGTAACATGTCTTTGCAGTGTTCCACTCTGGCACGTGTTTCATCACCTGACAGCACATGCAGTACAAACCACACTCAGACCTTTTCTTTGCCCAAATCCTCGGTCCAAATTTGATGCACAGTACTTTTTGATATTCCCAAAAGCTCCTCGATGAGGCTTGCAGAAACACATCTGTCTGATATAAGGATTTAGGTCACATTTGTCACATTTTCTTCAGTGAGACTTGTTCTCAGTTTTGATGCATGTGGAGCGTCTTCAGTGTCCTCCCTGCCATCACGAAATACAGCATACCATCGAAAAATGTTTGAGCGACTCAAACAATCACTACTGTACACACTTTTCATACACTTCTCCAGCTGTTTTGCCTAACTTCAAACAGAATTTGACTCTCTGTTCGACCGCCATTTTCCGATGAGTGTCAGAACAGTACTGTTACATTCAAGGTCAGAACACATGATGCAGTGATGCTTGCACTTTGAAATTATAGACAGCCATAGCTGAAACTTCAAGAATCTTAATACCACAACTCACCAACAGATGGCAATGCAGAGCAAAATTTAAAAAAAAATGAGTCCTAACGGATCCTGGACACACTGTGTATATAATCTAAAAGAAATAAAGAAGAATCAGTCTTTCACTCTTGTAATTGTCATATTCACAATTAGTCAGTTGATAGTTAATAGAGCTTTCCAGATAATCCAGTGCCAGATATTGCAGCTTTTACCATAGTAGTACTCACAGCATAATGGTTGGCTTGCACCATTACATCTGCAATCTGAGCCCACCGCAATCTGTCTTCTAGAGAAACTTGGTAGGGTGGAGATCCAACAGCTGGAGTCTTCACTGTACTGCCACCAGTGGCCATGTAACCAAAGACAGGTGACCCCATTCCTGCTGCAGTCTTTTGTTCCCTACTCCATCGACGACTGTTGACAAATTTAATTACAGCTGCATGAATAATCTCACTACTATTAGCCATAATGGTTTTGTTATATTTTTGTATGACTAAAAAATTGTCTCACCTCTCTCTGGCAATAAACAGGGCTCAGGAGACAAGTCAGGGTGGATACATCGATCACTACCAACAGTTTTTCACTTTGATTTTAAGTTATATTTAGGTCTGTTAATTTATCTTTTTCCATATTTAGATAGTCATAGATATTTAATACAGTTGATAAAAATCAAATAATTGAGTAGCTGGTTTGTCTTATCTCTCACTGATAAATTTTTTTTCTACTAGGAGTATTACAGGGATTACCAAAGAAACCATCATGTCTGTCCAACAGTGTTCAGTTTGAATTGAAAATATCCTGATAATCATTCAGTGTAACCATTTAAGTAGCAGCGAGCTTTGCACTGTTGAGATATAAACAACATAAATATAACTGATTCTAATTAATTCTTTCATTCATCAGTGAAAACTTCATAACTTCAAAAGACTAGGACTGCTTTAAAAATTATTTACAAAACATTCACTCATACACAGTTTCTTCATAACTGAAAGAAATAAAAATGTTAGAGCAACACTGAGTATGAATAGGAAGAATTTGTAATAAAATCACATGGAATCTAATCTGTGCTGTACTGTTACTAAAATAATCTCTCTGTGCAGATTCTATTACCGTTACAATTACATATAACTTCCACCTACCCTCATCAACTTTATCAGTATATCAAAAAGGAGTCTACTTTACTGGCATAAAAGTGTTCAACAATCTGCCACAAAGTATTAAAAACTTGGGCAATGATACTAAAAAGTTTAAATCAGAGTTAAAGAATTATCTACATGCTCATTCCTTCTACTCTTTAGATGAATACTTCAATGTAAATAGAGAATGATGTAAAATTAAGTTATATTAATTTTTAAGCTAAAATTGCCTGTACTTATGTATGTAACCTTTTGACTTGTTCTGTATCCAAAGGTACTAACCTACTTAGGATTTATAGAATGTAAATAAATTCAATTCAATTCAATGCAATTCATTTATTTTGAGAACAGTGTAGAGTTTGCTGCTACTTGAAATAATACTGAATCAACATCAAGGTTGTGTTCTTGCATTCTTTGGTTATCGATGTATAATACTTATAAAATGAATAAGAATTAACTACAGCGAGAGGCTGCACTGTTTTTTTTTGCAGCACATACCTGTCATACTCTGAATACTGACTGGCCGTGTAAGATCTAAGTGAGAAACATAACAGATCTGAGTAGTAAAACAATTTGTCCATACTTACCTCCACATACATAAACATACTAGTGTTAGTACAATAATGACCACTGCTGCTACAGATGCACCCACTGCTACACCAAGAACTTCACCATCCACTTCACATTGTGAGCCATAGAAATTACTTGAACAACTGTAAACAGGAAAAATTGTGTTAATCTTTAATACAGAGTGGTCAGAAAGTCCTAGCTTGTAGTGTAGGTTGCCTCATACCATGATTCGTGAGATCTGCTTGTATTATATTGTCACGTGTTGGGTATGTCATGCAACAAATAACTTCACGTGGGTCTTGGATTTAGCGAATCTTTATTGGACACTCACTCTTACACACCTTATAATTATCACCACTTGCAGTGTCACTTGACTTCTGGCCCAAACCTCTTAATGCAACATCTCAACTATCCTTAGCCATGGTTGGATCTCAACTGTCTCTGGCGGCGGCTATCCCAAGATTGTCTCATTTTCGTCTGTGTTGTCTCTGGCTCTGCTTATGTAGGCGTTATGCTGAACGGATACCAGACACCATTCCTCACGGTTCCGTTACCGCTGTTCAGACATTCCGTTGTTACGGGAATGCTTCTTATAGAATACACTGGTAACGTGTTTCACCTCATCCGTTGTTACTCAACGACAATTCGTTGCTACAATTTGTCACTGCGGGAACTCCCCAGTTTCCACGTATTCGTTGCCGTGGAAGTGTCCGTTCCAATTGTAGCAGCTGTCGCAGCAATGGACGTAAGATAACGCGTCACGATATAACAGCTTGGGACTTATGACCAACTTATATAGTTTATACTGCAATGTGAAGTGTGAAAGAAATAAAAAAAAAAAAAAAAAAAAAGATTCT